TTTTGATGCTTATTTTAGGTTTTTTTGATTCTCCGGTCTAGTTTTGTTTTGATGTCTATTTAGTTTTTTTTTGATGCCTCACCCTGCCTCGCAAGCACTTAGCGGAGCAGCATTGAATTTGTCCAGTCGTCATCTTGGGATCGAGGACGTTTCCCACAACTGGGCGAAGCTTATGAAGCCTGCCATTGCCAAGTTGCTACACAAGTGGTGAATTCTGCGCCATGTCAGAAAACGGCTTTGGCAATGATTCAAAGCACGTGCATCGACCCGTGGTTTTCCTCCGACTGCAGTCTTGAAGCACTTGGGGGCTCAGGCAGCGGCTGAAAGGGACGGGACTGGACACGAGTCGTACCCACAGCACCGTGGTGGGAGCACGGTTTCGAGAGGCGGAAACGCACGGGACTCTGGCGGGATGTGGCGGAATAACGGAATACGAGTCGCACTCAAAAATATGCGCGCCACCACAGCACGACTGCCAAAATTGTAAGATTTCAAAGCCCGGAACTCCTGAATAGCAGAACGGTAGCCCGGCGGATGCGGCGGGGCACGATTTGAATCGAAGATGTGCAACATGCGAAATCGCCGTGCCCACCGAGGCTGCCTCGCACTTGAGGGACCTAATCCATTTCAGTTCACATCATGGTGTGAGTACACCGTTCGGTGAAAAGTCGTGCTTTCCGTTACTTGCTGAACAGACGAAGGAGTCGTGGATGAACGGATGAATTCTTGAGCACCTTGGAGAATGCACTCTGGACCCATCTTCACGCCCTCAACCTACTCCGTTGACAGGGTTCCTGAAGTCGTGCTACAATACAATGCTTGCAGCATGTTGAATCTTCGAAGAGACGTGCAACACATTCGATTCCAGCTGGTCATGTCATACCCAGAGTGACAGGCTGGAGCAAAGCCGCGGGACGGGCCCTCGCGTCGTCCAGGAGAGATCAGCGCACATATCAGGCTGGTACACTAAAATAGTAGGTCAGAAGGTTGCGGCAATAGGGAGCACGCAGAAAGGACCATGAGCTAGTGACTTGCGTTTATCATCGAAATCATCTTCGAGCTGTCTTTCTGCTGTTTGCATGATGTCAAGTCAGGAGAACCGGACACTCCACACGGAGCTGGAGGTGGCGCCCAACTGCGCTGGCCAGTCAGTTGTCAGGCTAGCTCCTTCGACGCAGGCTCAGTCGCAGCAAATCGAAGTGCTCCGGCAGCAGGCCGGCCTTTTGACCGGTTGGACAGTTACCTCAAGCAACTTGCCCTCTCTTAGATCGACTTCTCGACTTCAGGTTCAACTGCTGAGGGATGGACATATGGCAGGGACCAAAGTACTCACTTTCAGCTGTGTAATTTGGCAGGGCGGCATGGACACCTGAACAGTGATACGATCAAGGCTCTTGTAGGGGAAGCCATGCGTGAATGAACATCTGAAGCCAGAGCGAAGCCGCAAGGGCAGCTACGAGCACCATCCAAATTCCTGTCCCATCCTAGCGCCTGCCATGTGTTTCTTGACGGTTCCGTGCATTCGTTCCAGGCCGAGCCTCAGCTGAAGGAGGCATGACTGACTAGCTTTGGCGGCAAAGGAGAAGATTCATCCATCTGACAGGAAAATCTTCGCCTGCGCAGAGACCTGGAGCACAGCCGCGCCATGCTGTCACGCCAGGGCCGTATAAGCCAGCGAAAATCCTGCGAATTGTGCAGAGTGTTCAGAGGTGCCAGCTTGCTCGGTTCAACGGCTGAAGCTTCAACTCGAAGATGATTCAGCCATCATAATTAAAAGACGCTTGCTTTCCACTTTGCGTGTTACCGGTGCAGTCGCCAGTGGAGCTCAAGGAGTGCGACACTCTGCGGACATGTTCCGGAAGCACACACGCTTCCTGAGCTGCGAAATCCGTGCCATACTGGTCTGCCGTTTTGGTTGCGTGTCGCTTTGCTGAGGATAAAGGATGCAGACGAGCACACAAAAAACAAACATATGCGCACGCATGTCTTCCTGTAGATCCGTCTATCTCGGAGTGCTGGTGCCGGCATGTGCGGAAGCGGTGAAGCTATGACCTCATCCTTCCTCAGGCTACACTGATGAACTTGCGACGATCATGTCATGGCCTCACTGCGTCTGCAGTAGGTGCATGTGGGTGCACTTATGCTTGATAGTGTCTGTGAGCCTCTTGCACTGCAAGGCCTGGTATGCAAAAAGTCATCCACAAGTTTCAATGCGACTTGCAGCCCGGCAGGAGATCCGGTAAAATTCAGAGAATTAGAGCGTTGAATACGTTTTGAAATTGCTTCCGCCTTGGGCTTGCGCCTGACAGGAGTGGCGAGGTCTTGGACATTCCTGTGGAGGAGCCTTGCAATTTTTCGTTCTTTCTCAAGATACCACGCACTCTCACCAGTCTGGTTTGGGAGAGGATTGCGTGGAAGCTGCAGGGACATGTGCCCAGATGAGGCGAGGACTGCAAAGGGGCTGGAAGACTCGGATGGCTTTCTGCCAATCTGCTGAGACAAACCACTGATGATGCAGACAAGACCCATGAACATTCGGAGAGGCACCGTCCTCCTGCAACAGCAGCTGCAGGCTGGGTGGGTTGAGGTGCTCGGATTTGTCAGACTCTCCGCTGCCAGAACGCCTCAGCGAAAGAAGGCCGTGATGGACTCAGAGTGTGAAGAAGGCCTCGAGCCATTGCTTCAGAGCCGAGGTGTCCTTTGGCCCCGGCTTCTTCGCCAGCTCACGCGGCCCCGCGCCCTCTATCCCAGGAGAGCACATCTGCAAGCCACTGAAGTACAGAACTAGGATATTATCATTAGAATACAGGTCAAATATATAATGGAATCCTATAAAGATACATTATACCTATATTTCAATGGCTTGGGGAGGGAGTAATTAAAATATACCTGTATGGGTCACCAAAGGCTGGCGACATATTCATGCTAGCTGCTAGATCTGCCAGAAATCTGTCGGACTCGGGGGGCCCTTCTGGGACTCCAAAAGCAGACGGTCACAGCGATTAGGACCCGAGAGAAGCTTGCAGCACTAGCAACTTCGCGCTACGCCCACCAGCTGTGTGGGCAAAGCCAGGAGACACGCAGAAAGATCAACACCAACACAGCGCCACTAGTGCCGAGTCCGCCCGACTCAAGAAATACCTCGAAGCCGCGAGCGCTGCGAAGCTCAAACCATGGTGGGCACCGCGCGTACTTGCGCCAAAGAACTGGACCCTTGCGGCCTGTGCCCATGGTGCTGTTTATCTGGACTGAGGCCCTTAGGCCCTTAACCGAACAGTCTTGATCGCTCGGGGCAGCAAATGCAGAGAAAGGTGAATGCAAACTGACCAAAGGCGATACCTCTTGGCTGGGGCCTGGCAGGAAGACCTGTAGCTGGTGTCTGCCGCAATCATGTTTATGTTTGCATCGTGTTGCTGAGCATTCTCTAACGGTTTTTTTTCAACGCGAAGTCAGGCTACGCTTGTGCTCGCACCGAGCCAGGAGAGCCGCTCCAATCCGCCTGGACCCCAGAGACTCGGCACAAGGCTTCGCGTTCGGGCGGAGCCGGGAAGCTTGCTCAGCTTGCTCTCATGCTCTTCAATGTTAGAGACGTGTTCTGTCAGTAAGGACGAGCAGTCAGTCTGCATCCACGATTCCTGCAAAGGCATCTCTTTAAGCCATCGGCCTGCACTGGATGCGATCCTCAACAGAGCGTGGTGCGTCGTTCCCTGCCTCGGCTCGCAGGAGAAGCGTGGTGGCAGTCCCGGTGCTGGGCCAGGCTGGGGGATCCTCCCCAGCTCAGAATGGCAATGGCCCCCCCAAAGGCCCCCGCCGTCGTCGCAGGCAGAAGCGCACGGACAGCCGGAGCTGCCTCGGAGCTGCACCCAGCGATGAATCAGCGATGGGATCTTGCATCTGCATGCCTTGCCCCAGAATTTCCGCCATGCAAGGCAGGACGTCTGTCTGGCTGCCTTTCCAGGCACAGTCAACAAGCTGCTACAGACTTTCTAGGGGTGCGACACGCCAATGAACGTCAAACTTGTAGCTGGATTGCAAAAGTTTCGGTAAGCAGCAAATCAAGTGGTGATGTCGCAGAAAGTGAGTATCATGCTGAGGAGTATGGCAGCTTGAGAATTGCAGGCTTGCGGACGAGAGCCTAGCAGTGCAGCGACGAAGCGCAGGCCCAGCCGTAACGCCTTAGACTGTCAGTTCTGGTTCCCGGCAGGCATCCTATACAAGTCTTCTAAGGCATGTGAGTGGTAGATCGTGAGACAAGCAAAGGTCGTTGCGGATCTCTGAGCGAAGCTTATCAAATTGAAAGAAGTTGTTCGTTCAATCCTCCAGTAAATTGCGGGGCCGTTGCAGCAACACTGCAGATTCATTCAACATGGGCCTGTTCACGAAGCTGCCGGCCGAACCTTCGCGATCCTCTCCACGCATCTGCCAGCCTCCAACCTGCACTCCAACCCCCAGCACTACAACTTCGGTGTTAAGCTAAATGAGACTCGAGGGCAAGATAAAGATCAATAAAGATCAGTTCTGCATTTGCTGAAAACATAAACCGCATAAACCCATGTGATTTTGTCGTAGTGCTTTCGCAGAGGCATTGCCGGCCCTCAGCAGATGCGTGTTTCGCGGCGCACTCCTTCACCGGTGCAACGTAAGGCGTGTCTATGGCAATGCATGTACGGTGCAGCTGCAAGGGCTGGAGGGTCAAGCCTTGGTGCTCAGTCGAAGTCCATGGCATTCCATGGCTGTCGTCTTTATGGGCTTTGGAGGGCAGGGCTTGCCTCCAAGAACTCTCTCGGAGGCGACAGTTTTGGAGCCTGCGGCCCTTGGGTCTGTGGCGCACTTGGACACCCTATTGTTTTTAGTGACAAGCTCAAGTTGCAGCTGGCAGGCGAGTTTATGCTCCGTGGCCGAGGAGCCACCGCGCTGGCGCTTCTGAGTTCAGGCAGAGCGATGGTGGTAGAGTGTGTTGACTCGTAAAGCTGAGAGCACAGTCTGCATCTTGCGACAGGTTTATAGCCCTCACTGAGCCTCACTGAGACTGATTAACCAGCCCTAGGCAGAGCTCTAGCCAGAAACGCTCCCATGAACAGATTCACCGGATTTGGTGAGGAGGTGCCGACTTACCTCTGCAAGCCCAGCAGCAAAAGAAGCGCTGCTATGCGTTTTCACGCGAAGCGGAGATGGGAGAGTGCCACGACAAGCTACCAAAGGGAGCAGCGTTGGAAAGCAGTGGTGCAAGATGCTAGGCCAGGCAAGCTCTGAGTGCCACGCATTGGGAGCTGCACTAGCCTTCGACAAAGGTGCCGTCGGTGCAGCCCAAAGTCTTGGCTTGCAGTGAGACTGGCACATGGTACTACAACTTCAACACTTCAACGTTTCTGTATGCTAGGCATCGGACATATGACGTTCAGTTCCAGTCGCAACTAGTTTGCAAACAAACCATGGGGGCTGCCCTGTGCCACCTGGTGCCCCTCAAGCCGTACAGCCTTATTGAGCCCTCCTCCCAGGAACTCCGAGACGTAAGCAGCTGCTCAGAGGTTGAGCTGTGCTGTCATGGAACGGAGTCTTACAGATCGTTTGAGAGCAGGTGAGAATTGTCGAGCTCCCTAAGGTGGAAGTATGACATCAGCTACATTGCACGTGGCAAGGCCATGTCGCGCCTCATAGTCACGAGCGGGTTCGAGCGGGAAAGCTGAATGGAACAGTCAGGGATGCATGGAATAAAGGGCAAGTCCTGAGAGGATGACTGCGTTGGCTCCGGAGCTTTTGGCCAAGTTCGCCCGTGCGAACCCTAGGAACCGAAGGTCAGGTCGCCTGGTTTGGAGATTTCCTGTGCGGACTTCATCGTGCTGCACGGACTACAGAGGGGTTGCAATTATTGCAACGACGCTAGGGCTTCCTATCTGGGTCTCACCTGGATGCTAAGAGAATCCTGCGCATGATCCTGCATGACGACCGACTCTTCATACTTCAGGTGTGTGGAGTTGAGTAGCCGAGCCGATCGATGCGTGCCGATGCTCAGCGTCCGAACGACTTCTGGAACATGGCGCATGTGGAACATGTGTGAGACCTTGTCTGGCAGCAGGTGAAGAGTATCGTGAAGGAGACGTGGTGGACACGGCCTGCTGCCAGGCACTGAGTCACAGTTGTATCGTGGATGGGCGGCGGTTACACAGGGAGGAAATGCAGCACGCATCCTGTCTCGACCTGTAAAGGGAAGCAGTGTCCTGCTGCCGGGCATGTGAGTGCCTCTTCGAGTACATGATACCTTGCAACAGCTTTGCCCAGCGACATGGTGAGGTTGTACAGGAAATCGAGCTGCTGGAGGCAAGAGCATGCCCACGTTGAATTATCGCATCTTGAGATCATGCCACAGATGGTCTCCGGGAACCACCCGAACATCGTCGAGTATTACGAGTGCTTCGAGGACGATATGTTCCTGCAGCCGGCTCGTTGAATGCATTCCGCCGTAAGTACGGCGTCAAAGATCAGCGGTACCACCACCAAGAATCTGTGATGTCCTGCCTCAATGCTGGAACACTGCTGACTGTCGGCAGATCCACGAGGACATGGCGAGAATGGCACAATGTCTATCATAGCATTGCTATCGATGCATATGCCGGCGCCTCTATCATTCTGCCTTTTGGTGGTGAGGGCGGTGAGGGAGATGCTACAAGTTGTGGCTGGATTTTAGGAGCGAGCTGCTCCAAATCTTAGTGTGCTGGGTGGTGGGAGGGAGGGGGCAAGCGTAAGCTCGCCGTGGCCTCTCCAGGGACTCTCCAGGGACCGTCTAGTACAGTGTGCGTGTTGAAATGTGCCGGCCGTAGGAGATCAACGTCATCCACTTGGTTCTCGAGTCCGGAGCTGATGACTTTCTGAATACGCGTGTCTCCGCCAGCCGAGAGACCACTGCATCACAATTGGAGACATATTCGTTGACATTGGGCGGATCCTTTGATGAGGTATTGCTCCAAGGGCAATCTCAGCAATGTCATCCTGTCCAAGAGGTTCAAAGAAGGCTCGGGTCGACCTTGGTGTTTCGCATGCAAGCAGGTGCTGATCGGGCGCACGATAGTAGGCCGTGGTAGATGTGAGAGTCTTCCGCACGCACGCCGAAACACACACTTAGCGTATTCGCTAGTGTCACATCCTGCTTGCTTAGATTCCAGGTGGCGAGACCTTGACAGCCAAGATCTCCTACCAGATTGCAGGGGCATTTCGGCTGTCAACGCACGAAGAAACAGACAAAGAAGTGGAGAGAGAGCGCGCTCGAGCGGATTTTGTTCAACCTGCCTGTGTGAACATTGTCGCTCTGTGGCAGCGCATCCGAAATCCAACCGGGACCTCCGCCAGAGTGTCCGCGAAGTTCAGGCTTTGCAGTTCTTGAGGGACCTGCAAATTGTCCATCGAGATGTAAAGCCGGGCTCCCAGGCCATGCTTTCCTTTAACTGTTTGACGACAGACTCCGACTAGACTAGAGACGAACGCGTTGAAAGCGTACCTGGGCGGGAGGCCATATCAATGGCAACCCACCGACACAGACCATGCACGAAGCTCTTGCCATCGACACCCGAACCGACTGCGAGCTTTCCTATCTGGAAGCTGCATGGCATAGTCACCCTCTCGTTTGTTGATCCCGCGACAAGCTCATGCAGTGAGCAGGAGTCGCAGAAAAGTGGACCATCACAGACTGCTTTAGCTGGCAATCCAGGATCATGCTATGGCCCCAATTTTGCAGATCTGGTCGGCGGGAGGGGCAGACTTGATGTTTTCGCTGGCCTTGAATTGTGTCCTACTCAGCATGCCTCGGAACGAGAGTGAGCTCATGAAGGCTCCAGCACAGACAGGCTCTGCGACTGAGCGTGCTTCATATGCATGCTTGAGCATTTTGGAGTGTTCGATACAGCGTGTTGCATCATGAAAGCGGGTGGCTTGAGCAGGAGCACCTAAAAGCAGAGGCAGAAAGTCACCCACAGTCCTCGGATTGTTGAAACTTCAAGTTGCGACAGGTCTAGTCTAGAAGCATGGCAAGGTTTGTCAAGCCCATAATGAAAGAAGTCCATGTATGTCCATGTAAGGCCATCAAATCTGGTGTTCGCAGAGGACGAGGCACTGAGAGCGTTGGATCGACGAGTGCTCAGCCATCGGACCCGAACTGAATGGACGAATGGACTACAGCTGAGTTGGAAGCCCCGACCTCGAACAGACTGCTGTCGTCGAAGGGCTCACACGCCTCAGAACCCAGAGACCCCAGGCAGCTTCGAAGCACTGCAGCGGAACCAGTGACTGCACTGACAAACGTCGGAGCTCCAATGCCCAGAGTAAATCCTAGCGACAGTGGCCGTCCCATCCATGGCCCTGTGTAAAAGCTGTGGCTGCTTGACTTGCTGCCTTGCACTTAAAAGCCAGAAAAAAGAGCAGCTAGCTCGAGACAGGAACCTCGGCAAATTTCCCAACAACCGACAGCGAGCCTCCCTCAGGACCTGTCATACTGCGCAGGTTGTAAAGCTGACCGACTTCGGCTGCGCTTGCTTGGCAGATGATGCTGTGCAGGCCAGGCAGAGCGTTTTTCTTGTGTCTTGGCCACCCGCACCCGACGGGGCGTAGCCTCAATGACATCGTGGTTTGTTCTTAGACGTAGCCGAGAGGCCCATCTTTGTGCAGGCCTCGAATGAAACTGCTGCTTCGAAGGGCTTCTTGCAATCTTCCATGTCACTGCTTTCGCGAAATGCTGGCATCTTAGAGCGGGTCAGTTAGCCTGAAGAAGCACAAGAGTAAAATGGACGTGACGGCTTTAGGGCATGAGACTGCTCAATAAGAGTGGTGCCTTGACTTCGCTTGACGAAACGTGCGAAAATGCGACAACGCCTGTCGTATGCTATGATGCGAACTGTTTCATCCGGCTGCTTCAGAGGTGCTTCACCTTCAGAACTCAGGCTGCCAAGCATAAAGAGATGTATTTCATGCCTGCGAGATGCACGGCCTGTCTGTCAAAGACGTGCGCAAAGACAGGATACAGAAGAGTGGCACCACCGGGATGCCATCAAACATACTTCTGAATCAATGAGTGGAGTTCGCTCCATCTGCACAGTCTGCAATTTTGGCAAGTCGATCCCGAGCAAATCGGCACTGCACCAAAAACGTAGCTGCGCTGCCCACGTGGCCCACAACAGGACCTCACTGACATCAAGGGCACTCCGATTTTCTTTTCTCCGGAGATACATCAGCTGCCACGAGGCCAGAAAAGAGCGGGGGGAATGCTTTGCTCTGCGCTGCTTACGTAAATCTAAACCTGCATTGTTCTCCAACTAGAGGTGCCATTCGCAGAGCACCTGCTGCGCAGGTCGGGGCTATTCATTCCCTGCCGACATGTGGGCGTTGGGAATCTGCATCTATATGATGTTGTGCAAAGGCCCTCGGCCCTGGTTTCGCCGGCCCTTAAGCCTCGTTTTGACTGATATGCCTGGCAGCCTTCAGGTGCGCATCCTTTCATGAAGGAAGGCGGCGCCTTGAGCGGGGCACTCTGTGTCAGTGGGAACTCGCAAGGTTGAAATTGCATTGCAGATATTGACACCTGCGGCTGGGAATGTGTCCTGCGAGGAACACGTGACCACCACACCGGTGTGTTTGATGTCAGAACCTCATTGGCCTGACTGACTGCTGCTGTCATTGGTTTTGCCCTCTGGGGAGCTGCAGATAATGGAACACAGGTGGGCACAGGGAAGAGTGGCAACCACGTGCAAGGGCACAAACGTAGAACCGAATTCTCGAAGTCGAACAAACCTCACGGCATCAGCTTCCACACCTGCCTTTTGGACGCTCGTCGGATGCGACGGTGCCCCTGTTGATCGGGCCGAGCAGCAGCGCGAATGCAAAGGTGGGAAGGATCGTTAGGCCCTGGCAATGGACCCCAGAACAATGTGCTGAAGATTTTACAGCTTCTTCTCCCACACGAAGATCGACTTGAGATGTCTTGTGGCCGATGATATTCGATGTTTGATTGGAACCGTCTTGCACGTCCGGCCCGTCCCCATCTCGTTACTGTGTTGTGCATCTAACCCATGATGTCAGGTTTGTCGTTGTTAGAGTGGGTCGGCGGTGTTGTCGGTGTGGGCTTCGCCACACGATGTTGGTTATGCCGAAGAGCACCTCCCACATGGCGGCTCAGGTCGACTGGTTCACGAGTTGGTCCGCGAGGGACGCGCTGCAATGGGCATTGATGCCTCATCCTGCGCAACTCTCAGTTATAGAAAAGCTGCATCGGCTTGGCTTCGCTTGTGTCGCAGTGCTTCTACTTCGCCGCGCTATGTCGCGCTACTAAGGGCCAGCGTATCCAGCCAAACGAGTTGATGGAGCACAAGTGGCCCCATGCCAGCATGATGGTGATGTAAACTTATGTGTATAATATATGCACATATATATCTATATACACATAGACGTATATACTTGTATATCTATATCTATATATCTATATCTATATCTATACATACACATGTCTATGCATGCATGCATGCATGCATGCATGCATGAACTCATGCATGTATGTATGTATGGATGCATGCACCGTCTGTCTGTCGGTCTGTCTGTCTGTCTGTCTGTGTCTCTCTGTCTCT